CTCTCTCTCACCCTCTCTCTCTCTCTCCCTCCCTCCCTCCCTCCCTCTCTCACCTGGAGACGAGCAGCGGGGGCATGGTGGAGGACCTGATGGAGAAGACGGCCATCATAGAACACTACATCATGAACGGTCGCATAGGTGAGCACGCGCGTAACATAGAGCTCTCTCTCACCCTCTCTCTCTCTCTCCCTCCCCTCCCTCCCTCCCTCTGCTCACCTGGAGAACGAGCAGCAGCGGGCATGGTGGAAGGACGCTGATGGAGAAGACGGCCATCATAGAACACTACATCATGAACGTCGCATAGTGAGCACGCGCGTAACATAGAGCTCTCTCTCTCTCTCTCTCTCTCTCTCTCTCTCTTCTCTCTTCTGCTCTCTCTCTCTCTCTCTCTCTCTCTCTCTCTCTCTCTCTCTCTCTCTTCATCTCTCTTCTCTCTCTCTCTCTTCTCTCTCTGCCTGCTCTCTCTTTCTCGTCTCCCTCCGGCTCTCTCTCCCTCTGCCCCCGCTCTCTCTCTCTCTCTCTGCCTCTGCTCTCTCTCTCTCTGCTCTCCCCCCCCTTCTCTCTCTCTCTCTCTCCTCTCTGCTATGCTGACACTTCACACTTCACACACAGTTGCACACACTCTCTCTCCTTTCTCTCTCTCATCATCGCCCTCTCTCTCTCTCCGCTCTCCCTCTCCGCCTGCTCCCTCTCCGCTCTCCTCTCCTCCTCTCCCTCTCCCTCTCTCTCTGCTCTCTCCCTCGCTCTCTCTCTTCCCCGCTCATCTCTCTCTCTCTCCTCTCTCTATATGCTGAACCACCTTACACTACACATCACATCCACACACTCTCTCTCTTCCTCTCTCTCCCCTGCTCCCTCTCCCTTCTCCCTCTTCCTCTCTCTCTCTCTACTCGCCTCGCTCTCTCTCTCTCTCCCTCTTCTCTCTCTCTCTCCTTCTCTCTATTGCTGGACACTTCAACACTTCACACCAGTTCACACACTCTCTCTCTTCTCTCTCGTCTCCTCCCTCCCCTCTCCCTCTCTCTCTCTCTCTCTCTCTCTCTCTCTCTCCCCCTCTCTCTCTCTCTCTCCTCTCTCTATTGCTGACACTTCACACTTCACACACAGTCACACACTCTCTCTCTTTCTCTTGCTGACCTTAGATCAGGTGCATCACTCGCCGTCACACGACAACAAGCTGCGTCTGAAGAACGTCGTCGACTTTGTGAAGAACAAGACGGACGACAGCACGAAGGAGCTGAACAAGAAGCTGCAGAAGATGCTAGAGGAGACGCTCACCAAGAACATCCACCTGCAGCAGGTACGCGCATGCGTCGGGGGTCGTTTCCCTCGTTATCTCACCTGTAATCACACCTGCAGCAGGTACGCGCGTGCGTCGGGGGTCGTTTACCTCGTTATCTCACCTGTAATGTCACCTGCAGCAGGTACGCGCGTGCGTCGGGGGTCGTTTACCTCGTTATCTCACCTGTATAGTTAGTTATCTCTCTCACCTGTTTCCCTGTGTACATGTACTTATTTACCTCATTATCTCACCTGCTTATTGCTAATTACCTCTCTCTCACCTGCCAGGATGTTGAGCATCTGTCGCAGAAGCTGATGGAGGCTAGTCAATCTTCGTCCGTAGTTTCCGTATCGTCGCCCGAACACCCGAGTGCGTCGACTCCGCAGTGAGGGGGGCGCCACCGATCGCACTACGTTACGCCGCGCAAGTGATCGACGTCATCATGAACGCAGTGTACGAATGATTGCATATATTTATTGTGTGTCGTCGTTTGACAAGGAGGGAGCTATGTGGCCATTTATTCTATTTATTCCTCTTTTGTATAAAATAATTAATACTAGGAAGTATAGATGATGCAAGCATCAATACCTACTCTTCCACCTCGGTATCGTATTCCTACCCTAACTTCACCCCTTCCTCTTGTTTGCCACCATTTCCTATGAATTTTTTTTTTTCAAATTATTTGTTTCTGTGTCACTCTCATATTGCATGTCGTTCATGGTAAGGTAGCTATGAATCTGAACTTGGCTACGTTCTGTCACGGTGCTATGGTCAATATACGTATGTACTCGTCTATGCATATACTTGTTTAGCATAGCTTGCGGTATGCGCAGCCAGATCTTGTGTAACAATGGTAATTGCCTCTACGAATGCCATCGTAATACTAAGCTATTGTTAAACAAGTAAAAAAATTACATGATAAACGCTTAATCCATTCCTAGACCATAGGAACTACGGTTACTCAGCTTATTATATTTACTGACACACTTGTCTAGTGGTGAATTTAAATATCTGCCAGACAGTGGGTTGTTTCGTGAATCGGGGAAAATTCACGAGCTCATGGCGAAATATCGCGATATATGAATACATTCATGAGCTAATAATACCTTATGTGTATTATGTACAATGTACAATGTATTATACGCTCAGCTGACGAAGTCTGATGCAGCTTGTAGAGTCGCATGATTGTCCGTGCGTCCGTGCGTCCGTCAATAGTTGGGCACAAATCTTAACCGCTCGACGTACGGTCTCGATATTCGGTACGTTGGGGGGGATCGCGAAAAGGACTCGGGATGTCGAATTTGGGGGTCAAGGGTCAAAGGTCGAGAAGTGTCGGAGGGAGAATATTTCCCCCTTAACTTAAGGTATAGGAGGAAATACGGAATTGCGGCACAAATCTCAACGGCTCGACCTTACCTCTTAATATTCGATGTATAGTGTGATGGGGAGGAAACCCATCACCAGTGCGAAATTGGAGGTCACAGGTCAAAGGGCAGTGGGGGAAAGGTCAGATATCAGACATTTTCTGAGGACATGGTCTAACGGACCGAGTGCAAAATTTGTCAGCGCTGACCTACCATATTTATCA